CTGGAGCACCTCCACTATGAGGACAGGCTGAAGGAGCTGGGCTTGTTCAGCCTGGAGAAAAGAAGGCTGCAGGGTGAATCATTGCAGCCTTTCAGTACCTAAAGGGAGCCTACAGACAGGAGGGGAATCAACTCTTGGAAAGGGTGAGTGACAGCAGGACAAGGGGAAATGGTTTTAAGTTGAGAGAAGGGAGATTTAGGTTGGACGTCAGGGGGAAATTCTTTACAGAGAGAGTGGTGAGGTGCTGGAACAGCTGCCCAGAGAGGCTGTGGATGCCCCGTCCCTGGAGGTGTTCAAGGCCAGGTTGGATGGGGCCCTGGGCAGCCTGGTCTGGCATTAGGTGGGATGGTTGGTGGCCCTGCATGTGGCAGGGGGTTGGAGATTCATGATCCTTGGGGTCCCTTCCAAACCTGTCCATTCTGTGATTCTGTGAGCACACAGCCCAGCTCTGGTCCCCAAACCCAACACTGCTCACACGTCATCTTTGACTCACAGTGCTGCACAGACAATGCCATGGCAATTGTTTACAGTGTCAAGGACATTTCATATAATTAAAGGAAACGGCCCAGGATTAGATAATACCAAAGGCCTGGGAGGCACAGCTCGTCATCACCTTGCAGCAAGCTCTCCCCCTGAGGTTGTTACCACACTGTGAGTAGGACCCCTCACATCTCCCACACCAATTCCTCCGCCCTGATGCTGCTTTTGGGAGCCAACACAAAAGCATCACGATCCCAAAACAGCAGCTAAAAATCCCAAACTGAGACCACCAAACACTGCAGGTGGGACATATGGATAAATGCAAACAGGGCTGTTTATCACAGCCCGCTGGGACCGCCTTTGGTACAGCCAGCTCCAACTGCAGCCTGAGCCACGAGCTCTGCAAATATTTGCTCACCTTCTCAACTGGTGCAGCGTTAAGAGTTACAGCGTGCTGCTATTCCAGGTATGTGAGCTAGCAAGCTCACAGCCAAGCCAAGCAGGCTTGCTCATTAGGGCCTTCCTCTCCTCGCTGCCGGATCACCTTGGTTCTCGTGCTCTCCTGACACAGCAGTGGATCACACAGATGGCTTAGGGACCCTCAGCACAATCCTTCTGAAGACCCACCAGCAATTGGTGCCCAGAACATCCCCGCCTCCCGCAGCCCTTCCCCATAGCAGAGGGCTCCATCCTCACAGCATCCTCGTGGCTCCTCAGCACTTCTCACCCTGCGACCCGATGCTCTGGGGACGCAGTGCCAGGAAGGAGTGACAAACGGATGCCTCGTTTCATCCTCGTCCTTCAGGTCTCTGCCTTAGAGATGGGCTCCAGGGATCTCTGCTGCAGAGGAGGGAATGGCTTCTCAAGATGAGAGGATGCTCTGCGTCAAAGCTGCTTTTTCCTCCAAAAGAAATACTGCAGTGCAAAGCACCCAAGGGAAGGCTGCTCAGTGCTGATCAATGCTTCACCCCGAGCAGGCAGGGAATGTCAGGGGTGCCACTCACTGCAATAATCCCATTACAGAGCTATCTGGAGCAAGCAGTTTCCTCCATATTTGCAAGATAACGGGATTAGCCTCGTGTTCAACATCATTTCAGCCTAATAATTGCAGCATCATTCCTTAGGCCCCGCTGCCATCGACTCAACAGGGGATTTCCCCCCCACCCCAAACAGCCCCAGCTTTGAAAGCCCTTCATTAGCATCGGCATCTTAAGTTAATTACTCGGAGAGATTTTCCATTCCTCCCCAAAGTGAAATGCAACTCAATCAATGCATCTCACAGCGCTCAGACAGAGCCGGCCGCTGTGCTCCTCACAAGACGACACACTGCATCCCCTAAAGCCTCCCCTTATTATTCCCGACCCCCCCAGCTCCTCGCAGCCCCATTTCCCCATTATTTCCCCCATTATTCCCCCAAATATCACCCGGAGCTCCGCCGCCCCCCCCACGGCCGACTCACGGTCGCCCCCTGGCGGTCGCGCCGCAGCACTGCAGCGCCCAGCCGGGAGGAACGGCGCTGTGCCACCCGCAGGAGGCAGAAGGGAGCTGAGGCGCTCAGCGTTTGTAAGGCACAGAGGAACGAAACATCCCCGTAACCCCGCTGCCAAGTCCTTCAGAAAGCCAGCAAGGACAGCCAGGATGGAAGGCTGCTTTTCCTAAGCTCTCCTCACACCCATTAACCTGTGGTTATCACCTGCCCGTCTCAGCCCCGCACTGCACGAAGCCAGCCCAGGACGTGGGCTTCATGCTGTGTGTGAGGAGACAAAAGCCACCTCCAGAAAACAAGAGCCGGGCTCCTTCCCAACGCTGTGCCAAAAGCAGTTTTGTTCAGCTAACCCCACCTGCGAGGGCAGCAGCATCACTGACAGCATCCCTCCCCAAGGGCTGGGTTTGCCATTCATCCACAGGCACTGCTGCTGTGTGACCCAAAAAATGCTAACAACAATGGCTCCATCTAAAACGAGCATCCATACCTCTGCTTCCAGACAGGCTTCTCTCCCAGCCCCAATGAGATCCACTACTGAAATCAGGTGGCAAATGACACAGAACAGCACTGCAGAGGGCGATGCGAGCGTCAGGTCTGAGCTGAGGCCCTCCAGCAGTGCCCTACTTACAGCCACGTCCCAGAGAGTCAGCCTGGATTGATTACACGTCCTACAGAGCCTTATCTCTCAGTACAAGGAAACTGTTCAACTCAATCTGAGCGCTGCAGCAGGTGCAACACCTCTCACTCAGTGCCAGCCTCCTCCCCTTACCTGGCTCCTGCCAGCCCATCACGCCAGGTATCCCATTCCCACAGCAGAGCCACCAGAGCACAACGAGCTCTGCTCTCTTTCAGGCAGCACAAACTGAGCACCCACAGCTTTACAATAGCCCAGAAAGGGGTGCTGCAATGCCAAGGTCACCTGCAGAGGCAGAGCAGCGCAGGCATCCCACGAACCACCCCATGCACCCTGGGAACTGCAAGCTGAAGAACAAAAGAACATCAGGGTTGTGTCCCAAAGGCTTTTGCTAACCTGCCAAATGCACTCACCTACTTACAGTAATGCTTTCAGGCAGGTCAGCCAGTGCTCTGTGCCGCACCTCGTTTAAAAGTCAAATGGTCCCAAATGAGATCAGCACAACCCTGCAGGAAATGTGTCTCAGGCACATTTGGCCTCTCGCAGCACAGCACACTTCAGCCATAATTAAACGTTTAATCTCAGGCACTTTGGCCACTTTGGCTCTTCTATTGTATTGCACTAAACAGTTACACTGCTGTATACATAATATATTGCATCTCATGAGGGAACTGTGGCTCGTGCCTTCCTGGAGGACAAACCTTCCCTGCAGGGCATTACCCAAAGGAGCAGCGTGGCTGTGCTTTGAATCAGAGGCGATCTGCAAATCCATCTGCTCGTGTGATGATCTTGCACTCATTTCCCAAACTCTGGGGCATCTGCTGGCATTTGTTCAGCCACGCATCCTGCTGGGAGCAGTGCTGGTAGCACAGCAGCATTCCCAGCCCCTTCCTCTCCTCGGACTCCATTTGGAGGCCCAGTGTCCAAAAGCAGCAGATCCATATCACGCTGGTTTCCTTACGAGGCACGCAGCCCAGCAGCCAGCACAGATGATGAAACAAACTGCTGCTTTGTCTACACAGAGCTTAAGAACTCAAGGAGTATTTCCTTTTTTTTTAGCTGGAAAAGAACTGGCAAAAAAAGTAGCACAGCAGGAGACGGAGGGGATGAAAGTCGGTCTTGAATAAAGAAATAACTGCAGAATATCCTTCAAGCATCCATAAACTCCAAGTGTTATTCTAGAACAGCGTGTGCAAGAGGCTGCTCACGTTTTCCCAGTTCTCAGCAGCTGCCTTCAGCTGCCCAAAGGGTCACCCCAGTGTCACCAGCAGAACCGTAAGTAGAGCACTGAAGGTTGAAGGAGAGCAAAACCTTCCTTGGAGGAAGGCTCAGAGCCTGCTGGACCAGCAAGCTGCTTGTTCTGGAGCCCTTGGCCTGTGTCCTCATGAGGTCACAGCACCACCACTGCATCACTTCCCTGAAGGAAAGGGCTGAAATACAGTTTGTGCCACCTTGAGAGGGGAGCAGCTCATGGGAGAGGGCAGCAAACGTGGTGCAAACACCCTGAAAATAGAACGTGATGCTGCACCTCCCTGCAGCAACAGGAGGATCTGAACGGGGTGAGATGCTGCAGTGCCATTTCCCTTCAGCAGATAGCTGTGTAGGTGGGACCCTGGGATGAAGGGAAGCTCAGCCCTGCACCACGTGTGTATTTAGAACCCAAGTGTTGCTCTCACCACCTCCATCCTCACGCCGATGGCTCAGCTCGGGCAGTGCTCAGCTTCACACAGACCCCAAATCACTGCCAGCTCACAGTGCCATCGCACAGCGCAGCCTGCTGTTAAATAACACGACTTTGCTCCATCCATCCACCCCAGAGAACAGCAGCCATCCCACGCTGCTGTGGCTGCAACGCACGCACGTCCGGATCACCACGGAGCAGCTGTAACCACCTACAGACACTCACTCAGGGCCACAGCCCAAAAAGTTCCTGGATGCTCTTCTCTGTACTTGGAAAAATAACCCAGGGTAGACTCGAGAGCAAATTTGAAGCTGCATACCTGCTCTGAAATGTGCACCAACAAGCTTGAAGCCTCCCTGTAGCCGCACGGAGACCGTGCTTCCACCAGCCCTGGGGGGCGAGCACGAATTGAAGTCTGAAGACAACAGCACGCTTCATTTTTAATTAGCTGGGGCATCCAGCCAAGAGGAGCTCCCCCACCCACTGTGGCCAGCGAAGCCTGACAGCTAAAAAGGATTTCTGCTCGACTGTGCAGTCCCAGTGGCCATTCGAAGCACACCAGCTCTGAACACGCGCCAATGCGGTTAAAACAAAAGCCAGCCATGCAGCATTGGGAGGGCAGTTAATATACAACCAGGTTAAGGACAGCATCAAAAAGCACCAGGCTCTGCAGGAGCAAAGGGCACGGGCTTCAGCTCCTGCACGCAGCTCTGCCTTACCTCATCTCCAGCCCCAGTGCCCGGAGCAACCCTGGAGTCCTGAGCTTAGCAGCACCTGCAGAATGAGCGTCCTTAAAAGCAAAGTAATTAAAAAAAAATAGCAATGAGAGACCTATTTGTTTACTCTGCTTTGAGTATGGGGCTCTCAGCTCCCAGCATCAAGGACACAAAGCTTCACGGTGAGCTCTGGGGGCTCTGAGCGTGCAAAGGTTGAGCCCAGGTTCTCCATCCTGAGGTGGAAGCAGTTCTACTTCAGCTGATGTGAGCAGAACGTAAGGCCTCTCACATCCCAGGCCCCAGCACTGCTCCCATCAGCAAACAGAGCTCCTGGCAGCCCGACAGGCTCCAGCACACCGACACGAGGAGCAGGGAGAGATGTGAAGCTTTGTGACACGAACGCAGCCAGCCACGGGCAGCCCCAGCAGAGCCCACAGTGCTGCTCAAAGCCATGAAGGCTGGAGGGATGGAACAACTCGCCCTGCTGCTGCCTGCGCCCCAGGGCCGAGCAGGGAGCTGCCATCTGCACAACCACTGCTCCCACCTCCCCAGGAAGGCTTCATCTGGGATCAGTTTGCCACAAGCAAAAAACTGCAGGGGAAACACCCCCGCCAATTAAATGGGCACCTTGCACCAACAATTAGAGGGCACGGCAGCAATGCTTGCCACCAGGATTATAAGCCTGATGTGACTTCAGGAATGTGCACTTGGCTCTCTCCAAGCAGGCCACTGGGTTCCAGCCAAGCAGCTTTGCACGAAGGCGAGACCTGGCACCCTGAGCACACCATGCTGCTGTCACACACACTGCTCCTTGAGCTCAAAGGATGGCATCACCTGATTGCACAGGAAGAGTCTGGAAATCACATTTGTGGTCACAGAGCTGCACAAGGCAGGAGTCATCGGCTGCCACAGTGTGGTCCAAAGATGCCTGTGGACGTGGGCTGCCCACCATGCAAGTCCCATCTCAATGGGGATGGAAAAAAGGGTAATGGAAGGCACTGTTTTTTTCCACGACCCTTTTTGGCACGTGGTTGGAACACTCACTCAAGAACACTGAGTCAAAAAACTGCTAGATTTAGAGAAAACCAAATTCTTGCATTGGTTAAAGCTGAAAGGAAGGAGCGTGCTCGCCTCAGGGCAAGTGGTAAGTAGTGCCTAAAGGAAGAGCTTTAAAGCCAAATTTCAATTAAAAACTTCACATCTTCTGCAAGACAGAGCAGCCCAGGGAAATTAATACAGCAAAATCAGGAGCTTCCAGGAGCTGATTCCTCCTTCTGACTTGTCACTGCCTTGCTCCAATCACACACCAGCTCAATGCTCCTGGCCTCCTCCCTGTTAAGAAAAGGGATGCTGCTTGTTTCCAAGAGCTTGGGATACTCAAGAGCCCAATTCCAGCTTGCAGGGAAGGGAGATTTCAGAAGAGATCCATCGGCTCCAGCCCACACCATTTGTGCAGCAGAGTTGCAGCTGATACAAACCATCTCATTTGCTAATCATCTGCCTCAAATTAAAGACGTGAGGCTCAAAATAACGAGGTTCACTTGCAGTGCTTATCCAAGGAAGAAGGAACAGGCTCACAGCCTGTGGTACAGCATCACAGTACTCACCAGAGCTCTCCTCCATTCCTCCCAACCACTGATGCTCTGAGCAATTCCTACGAAAACAGGAAACAAAAGTGACACACAGATTAGAATTCCAAGTGTGACCCAAGCCCACGTTTAATTTCACTTCTTCACCAGCACAGCACAGCTGTTGTGCAGAGAACACAGAGCACAAATCCTCCCCAAAACACCCAGACAAGAGAGTGGCACCATTCCTCTGAGATGCACACGGTGCTTGGGGAGGAAAAGTGAGACAAAGCAGAGGTGCAGCACTCACAAAGCTTTGGTCCTTCACATCTGCATCTCCAGCAGGACACCACATGCCTGCTGCAAAGGGAACAATGGAGCAATGAGAGCAGCACGTGCACAGCTCTCACACATGGCAGGGCTGAACGTGCTGGGGAAAGAGGACCACAAGGAGGAACTGGGATCTCAGTAGGAAGCCCAGCTGTTGTCTGGGGAGAGTTCTGCAACGAGGTGTGAGAGGAACTGAGTTTGGGGAAACGGGGACACGCCTGGATTCCAACAGAAACACACTCAGCAGTTTGGAAATGCTCTGCATGGATCAGCCAGGAACAACGCAGGCTGCTCCTGCTGCTGCCAGAACACTGCTGCAGGACTCCCAGATAGGGAGAACTCCCAGATAAAGACATCAGTGCTCAGACGATGGCTGGGAACCACAGCTTGTAAACAGCTTAGCAAGGGGAAGTGTGATCCGTGAGGACTGTGCACAGCAGGTCACCACCCAGAGCATCCCGTGGTGCTCATTTCAGAGGCAGCTTATCCTGAAGTCACTTGAGAAACACCCCGAGAGCCCCCCCACTTTAATCCACGTAACACACGCGTGTTTCAGGGCTGTGATTTTAGCACATGCGTTCAATAAAACCTGCTCTAAATGCTTCCATGAGCAAGGACACCACGTGCAGAAGCCACAATTAGTGCTCCTTGTTGAGGGGTCTGTATCTCCAGGCACCAACTCAGCACCTGCACACAAACCCCCCCTTAGCAGCAGCCCCACAGCACAGCACGTCTGCAGCCTCACATCTTTTGGGAAAGGGAAGCAGAAGAGAAGCAAAATCAGACACCTCAAAACCTACTTCATCCTTAGCAGAGATGACAGCAGCCCTGCTGCTGCCCAAAGCCACCGGGGAGTTTGGCTTAATTTGCCTTTCAAGGGCATTCCTGCACAGTGCCGAGCTCTGCATGTTACCAGGGCTGTGCTTGTGCCTGGAATACTGATGCAGGCAGCATGCTCAGGGCCAGACAGCAGCTGTGTGCACCAAGATGTGTCACCAGGGGACAGCAAGGCTGGAAGCATCTCCACCCCAACCAGAAGGGATCCCTCCAGCTCAAGGCTAAACCCCAGCACCCAGTTATTAACCTGGTTAGAGCAGAGGGAGCAACATCAGCACTGCTGGTGCTCCCACCAGGATGCCAAAGCAGGCACACACGTCCCTGCCTTGCTGGGAAGGTTCTCAGCAAGGCAGTGGTGATGCAGTGCCAGCTGGGAGCTGCTGATTTGGCAGCTGCTCTGCACTGGACAATGGATAACCTGCCCTGCAGGATGGAACTTACTGCCACCTCCCACTGTCAGATGCTCCATCTTCCCTGCAGCCAGCAGGTGTGCAGGCCTGAGAAAACCTGGATGTCACTGCTTTTAGCACAGCACACACTGCAGGTCCATCACACATCCTTGTATGAGCATTCAGATGTGAGATCTCTCTGCACCATGAGCCACGTGCCAGCACTGCCCTGGGATGCTCACAACCCTCTGCTGTGCCACCACCCATCCTCGCTGCTGCCATCACAGCCTTGGCCCACTGAGTTCAAATGTTGCTTCTTTGTACCTTTTTTCAGCTTTCTGTACCAATCTAAGAATACATCTTTTTCCACTGACCCTGCTCTGATCTCGTGGTGAGGTGACAGCTTTTTTCCAGCTCTGCAGCAGAAATGAGGCACTGCCACGCTGAGTTCTCAGCACTATTCTTGTAGCTCAGAGCCTGCAGCAACCAGACACAACACAGCCCAGCCCTGCACACCTGCCTGGTGCAGCCCTGCAGCAGCACAGGATGGGCTGCAGCCTCCCTCCTCACTCCTGCAGCAGTCAGAAGAATGAGCCAGGTGCACAGCAAGCAGTTGCAAGAGGCACAGTGCGGGCTGGGGGGGACAGGACCTGGTCTTGGTGCTGCTTTCCCCCAGCCCCAGGCTTTGCTGTACCACCTTCATTGCTTTTTCACATCCCCATTTGCAGCAGCCCATGCCTGGAGCACTTGGATGCTCCGTAGGCCATCACAGTGCAGCTCATTAGCTGTGCCACTCTGCCCTCGTGCAGGTTCTGATCTCAGGCTGCTCATCTCTGCTCCAACACCAAACAGCATCTTTCAAAAGACTGAGGGATGCTTTCAAGTCCAGCCAGAAGCAAAGCAGTGCAGGGCTCGTTTTTATTCCCAGCTGATGTACAGCTGTGACACCCCCAGGTGGGAGTGGGGCATCACCACCTGCACCCCCAGCTGCCCTCTGCCAGCCCAGCTCCTGTCCCCATTCCCAACACGTGCCTGACAGCATGGTGAGGCTCTGCTCTAGCGAGCTAAAAGTGTGCTTTCCTCCCTGCTTTAGGAGAAAATCACACAGAAGAGAGCCAGGATGTCCTTATAATGGTCCCAAACTACACCTGCTGTGTCCCCATAGCAGGGCAGAGGACTGACCCACACCCAGCAGCCCAAGGAACAGAGTCCAGCACTGATGCACACCAGAAGCACCCACAAAATGAAAGAAAACAACTCGAGGCACAGAGCAGCTCCTGAGGGCAGCTCAGAGCTCAGCTGCAGATAAGAGTTTAAACCCCACGAGAGAAACCCCTCTGGGCTGCAGTTGCTGCAGTGTGCTTTGCTCACATCCTTCACTTATCACCGTTCCATCATCATCTGCTGCACTACGGTGGAACTGCCTCCACCCAGGACACAGTTTGCAGCTCTGCAGCTGCTGAGATGGAAGGGCTTTGTGGAAGAAAGGACAAACACAGAAACAGAGCTGCAAATGACAACTGCACATGCAACTTGCACAGCCAACAACCAGGTGGGAGAAATCCTCATAGAGCAGCTAAGGAAACCAGCAGCTCCTCGTTGCAGATACAGCACTTGATAGGGGCTCCCTGAGAAAGCAGCAGATATCTTTCTGTGCTGTGGCAGCTGCCTGTGGGTGGCACAGCGATCCAACACTGCCAGCATGGAGCTGGGAAACCTTTTAGATTAGAGGAAGACATACATGAGTCATTGCAATGGACTGAATGAGATAACTTGCTTGCAGAGATCAGAGATGAAGCAAAGCAAAAGATGAAAACAACGCCAAGGATTACAGCTGATAGAATTAAAAACAGGATGTTAACGAGGTTCTGGTCATCTATAGAATGAGAACACAGCACTTTATCAACACATAACATCACCAAGGTGTGTGTTAATGAAGTGAGATAGCAAAGAGTGTGACTTCATGTTGTCACCCCAACAAACCAACCTGCCCACCCCCCTGTACCCCCAGCAGGCAGCACAGCACCAACACAACCCATAACGTTCCTGAATGAGAACTTCCCCTGGAGAAAAAACCCCAACCCTTTGCTCTTTCCATTGCAGCACACCGATGCTGTGCACACCTCAGACCCAACCTGCACTGCTGGGCTTTCCGTGGGGCTTCAACACAAGCAGATGGCACTGCGAGCTCTGACTTTCTGCTCAGCTCTCCCCCGTTCCACTGCTGTGTCCTTGGCCAGGAGAGCAGCTTTGCTGACCTCCCCCTCCCCCCCCCAGCACATCAAAGCTGGTGTTCTGCTTGGCACAGGCAGCCCCCTGATAGGTGCCAGCACCACTTACAGATGTACCCAATCCCCCCCGCCCACAGCGCTGATCCCAGCCAGCAGCACACTGAAAGGCTCCTGGATGTGGCAGCCAACCCCAGCAGGACCCCAAACCACAGCAATAAGAACCAGAAACAAAGGGAAAGCACTGCACTTTTTCAGACTCCGGAGGCAGAGCTGCCTCCTTTGGGAACGCAGGGCTATTTGCTGGGAGCTGTGGCTCTCCATCCCCTGGGAGGGGGCAGAGCTCGGGGCGCTCAGCTGCAGCACTTCCATTGCTCCATCTGCATGTCTGCAACCAAAGGGAACAAAGCAACCACTTCTTCACCTGGCTCCCAGTCACTAAGGCTCCCTGCAGGCTGGGCTAGCTCTGGGCATGGGTTAACTTACTGCAGAAAGAGCAGCAGGGGGCTTTTATCACAGCCTTAGCTAACGAGGTCTGTGTCCCTCATGCATGCACAGCAAAGAGCTGTGACAGGAATCAAAGCACCTCCACTTCTCTGCTGCCTTGCAGTACCATCACACTAATAAATCTGTGTGAGCTTTGTGATGCATCCACCTGGGTGAGCCAAAGCAAGGAGCAGCTGCCCATAAGAATTAAGAGGTGAAGAAGAGCCCCATAGCAATACAAGGGACAGCACACAGCCCAAAGCCAGACCCAAGGAACCCCAGATCCTTGCTCAGAAGGAAGCAGAGCCATGGGATCCCTGAGCCCTTCCACAGCCAGCCCAGGGCAGCAGCAGCAGCTGGTTTCAATCCAGTCCAGTTCCTCAATCTGTTGGCCACGTGGCCATGAACAAACACTTGCTCAGTGTATGAGAAGGGAGTGAAGGCACACAGTGCTCCTCCAGCACACGTAGTGCTTGGAGGTGTCGTACAGAGCCCTGCACTGGAGGGAGCACCATCTGCAGCCACACTGGGGTTACCAGTGTAACCCACAGCCTCACCTCTACCTGAGCTGCTCCAAGATCCCCCAGCATCCCAGATTTGGGTGAGACAGGGCTTCCTTCCTCACGTCTATAGGATGATTTCGGGTCTCTACTTCCAAACTGTTATTCAAACCCCTCCAATGTGCTCAGGAGCAAAACCTGCAGTGTCAACAAACGCCAGCCCAGCACTGTGCACCCCCTGCAGCCTGGCATTCCAGTTCTACCAGTTCCCTCTGCCCCTCGTTGCTCCCATTATTCCCCGAGAACCAACAGCTCTGTGAGCCGTGCCACAGCAAACCACCTGCTCCCTGCACAATTAAAAGCATTTCCAAACTGCAGCTCCCATCAATGGCACAGACAGATGGGCAACGCAGAGCAGCTCTGCTCCCAGCACTGCTTTTGTGCTGCAGGGATGCAGAGCAGAGCACAGCCTGAGCAACAGCTGTGCTGCCAAGGGACCTGCAGCCACCAGAACTGCTCCAGCTCACTCACAGACCAACTAAACTCACAGTCTGCTCAAGCACACGCACTGACTTCTGAGGACAGCCCCTCTCCCCCAGCAGAGCACATCCTGCCATCATCTCCTGCAGGCACTCACTGCCCTGGACAGTGCAGCAGTGAATCTCAAAATGCAATGATGCACCAACGCTGCTGCAGCTGCTGTGTGGCCTGCCTTGCTTGCACACCCTCCTCCTGCTCCACGCTGCACTGCAGGAAGGAAATAACCCTTTTACAAAGGAAGCAATAGCCTGGAGAGCGGGCAATAAAACACTCAAACCCACCTTGTGGGACCTGCAGCCCTGTGGTCTGTGGGCACCTGGGGGCAGGCCTGACTCTCAGCACTGTGCAAGCAGTGCCTGACTGCCCACCTTCCAAACAGACACAATCTGCTGGTGCTGCCAAGGCAGAAAACCAATGCAGGAGGTGATCCCTGCCACGCTTTGCAACATGCACTGAGTGCAATGAGCATCAGGAGCCACGAATCCCCCCTGCTCTGCCTAGCCACCCCTTATTACTTCTGCCCATCCAAATGAGTCTCACCCCACTGAACAGCCCCTCTGGTTGCCCAGGCTCACAAAACCTATAAAACCATCCCACAAAACCCACCTGATCTGCTCAAAAGGCAGAAGGGCACTGAAGGAAGCTACCTGCCATGCAGCTGCTTTGCACACAGCCAAACAGCAATTGCAATGCATCACAGCCCTTTGGTCGGCTCATTCCAGCAGGTCATTCCTGAAGGTAGGGGATACCAATCTGAGGACCTGCACTGTGACAACGGTGCAGAAACAGAGCTTTAGGAGAGCTCACACCATCTCCAAAGCAACTGCAGTGCTGTCTGCTTGGCAGGGCAGCCACCTCGAGGTGCTGACACTGCTCTCCAGCACTCATGTGGTGCTCTGAGGTCAGGCTGTGCTCTGACAGGGTGTGAGAGCAAGAAGACAGGAGGCTGGAAAGGCACGGAGCTGCTGTGCTATCTCCTTCATGCAAATCAAACCCCTCACTGCTGGCATGGAGATGGGAGGTTCTGATGGTTGCTGCGAAGGTCACCTTGGGAGCAGCAAACAGGAGGGGTTGCAGCGAGGTGGGGTTTGAAGCAGCCTTGCTGTGGCCAACAGAAGGGGCTGCGTGAAGGCAAAACCCACCAGGGTGAGCAGCAGGGAGAGCTGGAAGGACACAGCACCATCCGTCCACATGTGATCACACAGCTCTGCTGTCCTACCTGGCAATGGGAAGGCAGGGAGCTCACACCCACGTGAGGAATCCTGCTCCTTAGATAAGCAGGGCAGTAAAACAAGCAAACAGCCCTCACGCTCGTGCTGAGCTGCCACAAACGCAGCAGCCCCACTGCCAGCAGCTCCCTGCAGGAATAGCTGGTGTATAAAACTGATCCATGTAACCACAGGCATTGGATGCTGGAGGTGCTGCACTCCTTCCTCCTGCTTTCCTGACCCGATGTGCTCACATCGCTCCCTCCCCACCTCACAGGCAGGTGGCCATGCACAGAGTTTGCCAAACCAGGCACCTCTCTCCATCATCAGAAAAGAAAACAGCCCAGTATTTATAAGACAAGTGAAATGGAACAAGAACAGCAGCCAAAACCATTGCTGGTGATGCTGGGTGCCAGGCTCAGTTAGCAGCTGTGAGTTTCCCCATGTCGCCCCTCCATCCTCACTGCATGCTGAACAGGTGACCAAAAATCAGATGGCCTCGAGTCATGGATAACTGCTGAACTGCTGGAAAACAGCACAAGCCCAGACAGCCTGACAGCACTCATCTGACAGCTCCACCCCAAAGGTGGAGATTGCACTGAGATGGTGCAGCTGAGCTGAGAAATGGCCTTTAAAGAAGCCTGCAATCTCATCAGTGCCTTTTGGGGTTGGTTTTGGCTTTTTCTTGGTTGATAATTAAAGGGCTGCACGTTCAAAATGGATTTGGAATAGAAGGTTAAATCAATCAGTAAGCCTGTGACCTCGCTCAGCCTGGAGCAGGATGCTCTCAGTGCCAAATAGATGAAGCCCACAGATGTGCCACTTCTCTCCTGCCTCTAATCAGAGATCTAAGGGACAACGACTCAGCTTCTCATTAGTCCTCTTCTGGCATCATGCAAGCACCATCCAGGGGAACAAACCCTGGTGGAATAACAGGCCAGCAGGAAATGACACCGTGCAACAGATGGACCACACTTAACATCCCAGCAGCAACACAGCAACCTCATAATGCACTCAGCCCAGCCCTCCTTTCACTGATGACTATTTCCCCTCAGTCCCCACAGCACAAAGGCAGCTGGAATCTCACAGCTCTGTCACTTTGCCACCAGCAGTGCTGCTGTGGTGCATCAGTTCATGGTCTGAACTTCACTGTGCAGCAGCTCCTGGCTGCTCTGCCATCAGCACACTGCAAGCACCAGAAGGACTGAGTTAATCTGCTTTCTCTCCTCCTCCAATGGATTGGGAAAAGCAGATCCTATCTCTAGGACACCCGTTTGGACTGCCCTCCATTTTCTTACCTCTGCCACAGCCACTTTACTTTTCACACAACCAATCCAGAATCATAGAGCAGCCCGGGTTGGAAGGGACCTCAAGGACCACGAACCTCCAACCCCCTGCCACACGCAGGGCCACCAAACTCCACATTTCATAGCAGCCCAGGCTGCCCAGGGCCCCATCCAACCTGGCCTTGAACACCTCCAGGGATGGATGGGACATCCACAGCCTCTCTGGGCAGCTGTTCCAGCACCTCACCACTCATAGCAAAGAACTTCCCCCTGACATCCAACCTCAATCTGCCCTCCCTCAACTTCAAACCATTTCCCCTTGTCCCACTGTTATCTCCCCTTTCCAAGATTCGATTCCCCTCCTGTTTATAGGCTCCCTTTAGGCACTGAAAGGCTGCAATGATTCACCCCACAGCCTTCTTTTC